CCCCCCGGGTCCGGCCCCCTAGCAAAGATGACAATGCCCGATTACACTGGTACTCTAAAAAGTGTTGACTGACCATTGACAAAGAGATAATTTCAATTGTGGTTTCTATTTAAAGAAACTTAATTTAACACTTTCAACACTAAACACAACAATATCTTCCACATTTTTGATAGGATACGGGTTGCAAGGGTACTGTTGTGAATCCTGCCTTGTCATCTGTTTATGGAAGTCACTAAGACAGTACGCTTACACTCCCTTTTAAAACATTAGCTCTGAACTTACACTGGTGGTGCTATTAGATTGATACGGATTGGTATTTCTTCAGTTCCACAAGCTATTCCAGCACGTAGAGCCTCCTTCACAGCATCAATACCTAAACACGCAAAACTAGCTACAGCTAAGTATGCCCGACCTAAACACGCAAAACAAACTACAGCTTAGTATGTCAGACCTAAGCACGAAAAGCAGCTACAACTAAGTATGCCCGACCGTAACACGCATAACTAGCTACAACTTAGTATGCCCGACCGTAACACGCAAAACTAGCTAAAGCTTAGTATGTCCGACCTAAACACGCAAAACTAGCTACGCTTAGTATGCCCGACATTTATATATCATTTAGCTAGTTCAAACAAAAAAACATGAATTTTTTATTGCTGGCTGAAAACTGTCCCTGACTAAACGGCTCACCGTGAGTTGGGAATATTTAACAATGTTTTTTTTTTGTATTTTTGTAGTATTACAAGAATAAAGTTAGGAAATTTATTTTTACAAGCATTTAAAAATTCCGGGAGGATCATATTCCCCAGTTTTACATTCCGTAAGTAAATTATTTTCTTTCTTTATTTTGGGGTTACTACTACGGAGCCCACCCATTTCCTCCATTCGGAGGAAAATGCACCAAGGGAAACCTGCTATCCCTTCTAAGCCACAGCTCAGCTGTTCTTTTTATGTTTTAGAGGGGGGAGGGGGGGACACATTTAGTATTTGCTTTCCCTTAGATATGCTACTTGTGTTTTTATCAATGAAAAAAAAATTATATTTATTTTACGTATACATACACTACTTTAAATTCACCCCCCAAACTGTACAAATAAAACCAATAAAAATGATTTTCAAAACTGGCAAAAAATGTATGACGTTTATTATATACGGATAGACAAAAAATATATAACATATATAGATAACTCTAACCTTCGTAGGTAAAGCATGAGCATTCAAAATCTGCTCTGATCTTGACGTTCTGTTGGGTCAGCTTACGGTGGATATTCTCTATCAGAACCTGGACAAATATTTTACTAGTATTAATCTAGAACTTTAAATCTAAAAATACAAATAAAGCACTCCCATACAAATAAAATCAAATCGTCTTTGTTATTACGCTTTACAGAGGGGGGAGAACAGGACTAGAACAGGACTAACCTGTTTAGTTTTATCGTCTAAACCACACTCGTCCAATAGAGAAGGATCAACAACGGACTGCTTGAAGTAGTCGTAGGCAGAGCCCTGAAGATAACTCATTTTATTTTATTTGAAGACAAATTGAGGAACTATTTCTTTAGAATTTTATGGGCGAATTATTTTCCATCCCAAAAGCAAAATAATAAAAGGAAAAAAGAACTTGGTCTATAGAAATTCACTAAGCTGAGATCTTCTTCTTAATAGAGTCTAATTTATCAACTTACCAAGTTGAGTCAAAAGGATTTAGAACCGTGACTAAGCTTTTTAATTGCGGTTACATGCATATGAAATAAATGTCGTCTTCTGATACATATTACATACAGAGCGTCCCATGTCATATTGGATTATTTGCAAGGTTTAACGTTGAAATTCGCACATAATACTCAAAAAACAAAATGTTTTCTGCATGCAAAATTTTATAATCTGTGGTACAACCAGTTTCTGTATACG